ATTACACCGGCTGATTTAAAAACATATACAAATAAAAATTTTATAACTTTTAATCAGTTTAAAAATTCATTTGATATTTGGTGTATGGAAATGGAAAATGATTCACATTGGACATTATCAAAATGCAACTACCAGACTTTTTTTAAAAACTACATATACAAACACGTTGTTGGTATGGCGATTCATATGAAACTCTGCAAACCACCACCAGCAGCAAAGACAGTGCTAATTGATGAGAAAAGAAAACGAGGTAGATCAGCAAAGGCAAAACCTGCTTTACTAGTACAATAGCACACTCTTTATTTTCCTTCTTTTCATTGATTCTTTGGATGCCTACTTGATGTTCTTTCGGATTTTATCTTATTTATTCTGTGATTCTGTGTTTACTTAAATTTATTTTTCTTGCACTAAATCATACTATATACGGATAAAGCGTATTTTTCTAGTAGCAAAATCTCTAATTTTTACTTATCAAATTTGTATTTTTTACTGATATAAATTGTATTTCTTTACTGCTAATTATATAAAATAAACTGATCATTTCACAATTAATTACTGATATTTTTAGTAATGATCCTTTGATATTTCTATTGATCATTTATATAGTCCTTTACTGACAATTTCACTTATTTTACCGACCAATGATGCCTCCATAATGATCGTACTACTCCAATAATCAGTGAACAATCATCATCAATGAAAATTTCAAATCAACCACCATACCATCCTCGATCATCAACTGCGTCAATGCTATCATCTAATGAAAATATAAAATCATCACATAATAAGCATCATTTTACTAAGCCGTTGCCCAATGGTCAGAATCCATTATCTAGAATTCCACATGAACTATCAAATCAATCTCGATCAACAGCTACTTCACTATCATCATCTAATCAAACTTTGAAATCACTACATGTTAATAACAGGAAAAGTTTTGGTATTTTGTTCCTATTGTGAATGGATTCAAACTTGTAAAAAATACAGTTGCAGTTAAACAGGCATCAATTTTGACTTTTTATATTCGAAAGAAATCAAATGATTATTTCCTTAGCTAATTCACTAAGTCTGATTGTATTCATAAATCTCAAGTTTATCTAAGTTAATGGCAAACAAATTCCTTAATCATGGAGAATATTTTGACAACTTTTCAAACAATTTGTAGTAGACACTAGAAGCATGCGCTCTTTGAATTGCCTTTTGTTCTATTTATTATCTTCTGGTTTGTCCTCACTAAAAAATTGGACATTTTTTCAAACTTATGATCACTACCATGTAGTATTTAAAATCAATTATAAATTCAATTTACATAAAATGAATATAGAAAGAGTCATTTGATTTCTATATTGTTTTCTATGGAACGCTACACAACCACATTGAATGACATTACAAAATTTTAGTTTTACCGTTGTAGTGCCAAGTATCATAAAAAATAAGTATTTTTTATTATGAGTATAAAGATTACAAAAAAATAATAGCAGAAGGTTAACTTAAATTATATGAATACAGTTATAAAAGTAATGATGAAAATGATATTTAAAAACTTAAATTAAATGCAAAATCTTATAAATGAAACTTCGAACAGTAAACGTATCTCATAAGTAGTTACCTTCCAAGTTAAGCAAGCTCGTAGTCTTAAGAAGAGACTTTTGCTAGAGATACGTGTACCGTAAGTGAATACTACCTTGGTGTAATTTGAATATTGTCTTTACAGTCTCAATTGTTCTTTTAATCCCTTTAAATAAATAAACGTACACTTTTTACCACTCCTTCTCTATCTTTTCTGGCTGCCGCATTAAAAGCACTATTCATTGTTTGTTATAGATGAACACACCAACGAGAGTAATGACTTCTCAACATCATTTCATTAAGTGAAAAAAATTCAATTACTTAATGATAAAAATAGTATTTATCCCTTAAGAGCCGAATGTCCCTTCCAAGGGACATTTGAAAAAACGCTATAGGAGACGTAAAAAAATCGTTGAGGCATGGACCAATATTTTTTTGGACTTTGATGACCTAATACAGTATAGAGTGAAAAAGAAATTTCTTAAAATCGACTGTCAGGAGACGCAGCAGGTTTTGGAAAATGCATGAATTTTTTAAATGCAATTTTGTATTTTGCAATGTATGCTTTTTCGTAAATATAGCGTGAATTAGCGTGAATTATGGCTTTTCTGAGAGGCACAAAGGCAAGCTACCGAATGAAACTGTTCCCTAAATTTTTAAGTTATCTGTTGATACATAGTGATAGCATGAAGAAAATGTCCCTTGGAAGGGACATTCGGTCTTAACGGGCCGAAAAGTTTGAGCGAGACTTACATTGAAACCGATAGTGTGTAAATTTTGAAAAATTGTAAAATATTGCTTGAATTAGTTTCTCGAGTAATAAGAAACATATAAATAGAGGTATTTTAAAGAAAAAATTGCTTTTACATAAATTGATAACAGTGAAAAATTGTGGACCGTTACGACTGAATGTCCCTTCCAAGGGACATTTTATATCTCCGTAAGAAAAAATTTTTTTTTTGTTTTTGTTATCAATGATTCTTATTGAGATAGTACACCTTCTGTTTTACCGAATAATTTGTTCAAATTGCGACGATAAGGCCTTCCGGCTTTTAAGGGTTATAGTTTCTCACAAAATTAGTTAGCTTAAAAATTGAACATTTCATCTGCTTCTGTATCCAATATTTTAAAACAAAACATAAAAATAATTAAGTGGCTTTCAAATAAATCAAAAACGAAGTATTAAATAAAAAATCAAATGTTTTCACATTGTAAAATTTGATAAATATATTTTTGATTGAATCATAGGAGAATGTTCATCAAATTTACATGTGTCAAGTCCAAAACAGTAATACACAAATTGTGAAATAAAAAGAAGTTTTGCATTCTGTTAAAAAGCTTTTGGATTCTTCAATATTCGAGGAAAGAAAAATGAATATCACAGGCAATGATCATTGGCTATTTCAAAACTAGTAAAGAAGCTACTATTCTGAAAATTTGTTACATCTCCTAGTAAAGTATAGGATACTTCCTTTAAATGAATATCTTTTGAAACTGAACATTTCAGAATTTTCAACGATGGTCAGTTAGAAGAGATTTCCTATAGTTCATTTTTTCTATTTTAAGTTTATTAATGTATAAAAAAGACATTTTCGTATTTATAAAATCCAAATTTAAAATACAGATTTTATAATGCTTTTTATAGAAGGAAATCTAGTGGACATATGTACTGATGCATCAACAATAGTGGAAGTCTTGAACGTTGCTTCAATAAGTAAAACTATGGTAAGAAAAAGACTGATTGTGCACTTACAGAGATAAGATTAAAAACACTTACATTAACAGAAACAATACAATATTTATTTTTTGTTTGAAATTCTAGAGAGGTCACAATTATATCAATATTTCATATTCAAAACTGATCAGCATTCATAGTTTTCGTAATAAAAACAGGTAGCTTTAGAACATTTTGTAAAGCAAACTAAGTATTATATATTGCTTATAATCTTTCAATTCGGATGCATTAAAATAAGTTAGATGACAAAATAGGACAAGAAATTTACTTACTGCAGAACTAGTACAGAACTCTGTATACCGGCAGTTTTTGTTCTTTGTTTGAAAAAATTTACTTCATCTCTCTCAAGTCGACATATTATGATAAGCATGCCTGAAAAGTCTTGATGGTGTTAACAGTGGAGAATGAACTTATAACTTGTAACAAATGCAAAAATGCAGCAATGTTTAACACACGTGGGCACTTTTGCTTATATATGAACGTGAAAATTTTTCACACTATCCTCTAAGTTTAAAATTAGATAAAATGAACTCAATGTCCTTTCAACTTAAAATTAGGTAAAATATTATGCTTTTTTTGTCGACAGTAGCTGATAAACTTAAATTTGATAACGATCAAAATATTGCAAAATAAGCACGATATGTGACCATGCAGCTGTATAAATTCTTACGACATAAATGTTGTTTGAAAATTATTCTAAGATCCACTCAACATACGATTGACAGCAATTAATCTCGCCACTAATATAACTTTTAAAATCTTTTTTCATTGTCAACGATTAATTTTTATTTCTGAAAACAAAAAAAAAACTAAGTATCAAATAAGAAGAGATTACATGTAAATTTGAAGTAGAATCATATTATTTTTGTCGATAATATTCGAATATCACCGAATTATACTACATGCTCTGAGTTAGTTCAAAATTTGCACCTGAAAAAGAAAACAGAAAATTAAGAAACGAACAATTCATGTTTACGATGTACATTGCCTGTTATTCTATTATATTTCTATCGCGTTGAAAAAGAAAAATATCATTTTGGATGGTTGTAAAGCATGAACTTTTCATCTGATTGGCTTATAACTTCTATATGAAGTGAGCCTATTGACTTTGGTTTACACGTTTGGCTCACTTCTGTGGACCCAGTTTGTCGGCAAATTATTATTATTACCCTCAGTCATTGAACTAACCAAATGTGATAATGTCTATTTTAAAAAAATTTTTTTTTTCAAGATTTAGTTATTCAAAAAGAGCATAAAATTTAGAAAAATCTTTGAATAAAATATTATTTTTAAAATTTTACTATTGTATAAGGTATATGAACAAAATATATTATTTGGAATTCCTTGATGTGCTGGTGGATTAAATGCTGATATTGTATCAGACTAAAGGACAAATTGATGAGAATCAATATCATACATCCAATCAGTTATCTTTTTACAAAAAAGATAAATAAATAAATTAATTAATTAAAATTATATTTTTATAATAAAAATAAATAAATTTTTTTTACAGATTTTTCTTTAGGTATATTATGAAATGTTTGTCTCCACCAATTTTCAAAATGTTTTTTCGTATTTAAATCAATATGTGTTATAAATGATCATAAAGGTGTATATTCAACTAATGAACGTAAATCAATCGATGAACATTTATCATTTTTAATGAAGTTATTGTCATTGAAATTTTTCATATAAATTATATTGAAATTGTTGATTTATCTTTTATATTATATAATTCAATTCTTTCAATATAATCTATTAAAATTTTTCTGTAATTCATCATATAAATCATTATTATATGTTTTATTTGAAAAATTTCATATAATAAAAATTCACGCCATGTCCATATTGATTCTTCTATATTAAGCATAACACATGATGAAAGAAATAATGGACTTAATTCATTTAAATTTTCTAACTAAAATTTTTAATTAAAAAACAAAAAATTATTTTAAAAATAAAATCTAAATAATCTAACCTCCCAAAATATATGATCATTATTTAAATTAATAATAAAATCTTCAATTGTACTAAGATCATTTGGATTAAATCCATCAAGATGAGGATAAAAATTATCATTATGATTATTAACAAGATTAGGTAAAAGACTTTGTTTAAAAAGAGCTTTATCTGAATCATATTTATAAAATAAATCTTCAGATGACCATAATTGAAGCATAATATGTTGATAAATTTGTTTTGAATATAAATATGATTTTGCTTTAATAAATGTTTTTATTAAAAGACTTTTACCATATTGACTTTTACCAATAATAAGAATTTTTCAATGATTTTCAACTAAATGATTTAATTGAAGTAATTTATTTAATATATTTTGATTTATATTTAAATTAAATTGATTTAAGGGGGGGGGGGCTCGTCAGCAAACCTGTTTTTTCGAAGAAAACTCGAAGTTGAGATATTATCATAGGAAGATGCACCGAAGTCGCCTCTCGAAGAATATATATGGCTTTTTTCCAAAAAGGCCTGGTTTTAATAAAATTACCAAAGGAGATTGGGGATCTGCTATCATGTTTTTCGAGACATTTTCGGAAGTCTTTCAAAAACTGGAAAACATTGCTTTTCTATTTGAATACATTGTATTAAAAAAACAAAATATACAAGCACAAGATTTGGCGTAAAAAGCTCTACAATTTGTATAATGCCACTTATTTTATAGTTGCCCTTTTTCTTTTAAAAATCGACAAAATTCTGAAAACATACCTTTTTCATATGTTGTTATTTGAACTCGAATAAAAAATCGATTTCTAAATTTGTTTTTCGTTTTTCTCAAAATAAATTTTTTCTCGGATACCATTTACGCGGGCAAGGACTTCTTAATAACGACGCGATAGAGAAGGGATAATTTTTTTTTATTGTATAGAGGACAGGTGGAGCTAGGACTTAATAGGCTCCACTTTTTAAATTTCTCTTCTGCTGAAATAAAAAACATAAATATTTCATTTGTATTAGCGCTTTGAATTTGACAATTTTCTGAAAAACATTTTTTTAAAATCAAATAAAGGGAAATTCAAAAATCGGATCCTGTTAAGTCCTAGCCCTAAGGGTGCTCTACAAGTTAAATACCACGCCGACATGATTAGTCAATATTCTTATATCGAAAACCTTGCTCGCGTGAAGGGTACTTTTGATCAATAAATTGACTGTAACTCATTCGTTTCTCAGAGATTTGGGGAGATATTTTAACCACAGTCTACCCTAGCCAAGACTAATATTCTCTGATATTTTCATTGAAATCGGATGAGAAATGACAAAGTTGGGTTCTGAGGGGAGGCCCCCCTTAAAGATAATTCAAATCCATCAGAAATATATTCCAAAATTCTATTTTTTTTTGAAAATAAAATAAAAATATTTTATTTTATTTTTTTTTTAATTAAAACAAACTTTTTTTTCTGGAGTCATATATTTTGAATTAAGTGCGTCAGCTTTTTCTTTATAATCTAAATAAGTACCACGAAACATAGCACAAATTGATAAAGCATCTTTTAAACCCATTGATGTCTAATAAAATAAATAAATATTATATTAAATAATTAAATAATTAATTTACATTACTTGTTTGTGATGATATATCATTTGCAATTATTTGTTTAGCACGATTAACAATTTCTGAAGAAAGAACTTCTAATAATTGACTAAATTTATCTTTTTGATAATAATAACTGTATTAAAAAAAGATAAATAATCAAAATATCTTACTGTGAATGTTGTCAAATAAGAAATAATGTATGCATTAATGATGGAAGAAGTGATAAAATTTCATTAAGATTATTTGAATTACTTATCTGAAATATCCATGATGATAATGTACCTACAAATGATAAATTTCTTTCTGTATGTGTTACTGCCTTTTAAATTAAAAAAAAATAAAATAAATAAACTCGAGTTATTTCAAGTTTAATATCCATAAATCATGAAAGATATGGTGAACAATTTCTTGCTAAATTTTTTAAAACATCTTGTACAAATGGTGAATCAAGTTGTACAAGTAAATTATTTAATTTATTTATTCTTGATGTCCATAATTATACTTGATCTTTTATTGAATTTTGTTCTCGACCATAAAATGATGGTTATAATTCTTCTTGAGGTAATTGCTAAATTAAAAAACAAAAAAAAAGAAATTTTATTTTTAAATAAGATCTTATTTAAATAAAAAACAAACTTTTATTTGTTTGCTCCAATTAGTAAGAGTATTTCCAAGTATAGATAATATTGATTGTTGTCTTTCAGGTTCTTGTTGTGATATATGTGCAAGAATATTAAATGCTGGTAATGGAAGAACAACAGATTCAACTTGAAATGTATGTGTTGCAGCTGTTTGATTTAATAAACGATGAAATAAATCCAAAAAAACGGTCTTTTTCAATATCAGATACAAGTAAATTACAAGATAATAATGGAAGATAAACATCTCGACTTATTATATCCATATAATGAACTGTTTCTTCTGAATATAATTCAACTAATGCTACATCTTTATCTATATTAATATATTTAATATTTTGTTTTTAAGAATAAAAAACATAAACTAACCGATAATTTTTCTTATTAACTTACTCGATAAATTTGTTTTAATAAAAAGAATAATTCTTTCATAAGATTTAAAATCCATCTGTATCCATTTTGTAATTTTAGTCAAAATTTTAAATGAATAAAATAAAGAAATGAGACGCCATTTGCACATGTTTGTATAATGTAGTCACCATCGATTGCCTCTCTTGAATTTCAATCGATCGTTCTGTTTCTATATGAGACGAGAGGGAGTAACTTGCTGTCATGGGATCGATGAAGTGTACCACCGGAAAGAATTTTTGCTTAAATTGTGTTGTTCATCTAGTAGAATCTTTATTTATTCATTTATCTTTAACCTTTAAAAGCCGGAAGACCTTATTGCCACAAATTAAACAAACTAATCGCTAAAATAGAAGGTCTAGCACCTCAATAAGAATAATTGATAGTAAAACAAAAAAATTTGTTTCTCTTACAGAGATATAAAGTGTTCCTTGGAAAGGACGTTCGGTCTTAACGGGTCATATTTTTTTTTTGCTATTCTCAATCTTTGTAAAAAGAATTTTTCTTAGAAATAATTTTAATTATATATTTATTATTACTCAAAACAACAAATTGAAGCAATATTTTGCACTTTTTCAAATTTTACCTACTCTCTGTTCTGATATAAGATTTGTCGATGGAGTCGTCCATGTATAGTTTATTGAGTATTAGTGAAGAAACAGTAATCATCTCAATAATGTGCTAGCCGTTTTCCCTTACTAGGAATGTTGTTACTAAATGCCTTACGAGAGCACAATCAGAGCTAACGCAAAGGCTTCAGAATTGAGAACAAGATCGATTTTTTCATTACAGACGAAAAAAAAAAAGGGAATCATCGAACATTTTTGACGATGAAATGAGAATGGATGGTTTTTCCTTCATTTATCCAATGCGATAGGCTTTAGTTGGATCCAAAATAAACGAAAAATCACTTGCCTAATGCTTCAAGAAGTTTTAAGTTGTTTAAATTTTTTGATCCGTTAAGACCAAATGTCCCTTCCAAGGAACATTTTCTTTATACTGTCACTATATACGCATAGATCGGTTAAAAATTTAGGATACAAAAACTTGGTTATAAGTATTAAATAAAAGAAATTCTTACCAAATTCTGAGTATCTTCAATATTCGATAAAGTATCTTGAATAAATTCTAAACCATTTTCAGTTATTTTTTTCCTTTAATTAAAAATTTATTTTTTTGTATTTAATAAATTGATTTTATCCAAAATCGTTTGACCATTATCATTTGATAATAAAATCATATGAAATTTTTTCTTTCTATTATTATAAAATCCACCAATCAATCAATTATTTGTTGTTTATCGTTACTTTTATTTAATAATTCATTATTATCATTTGTTTTTATCATTGTTAAAAATTCTAAATATAAATTAATATATCAATTATCATTTTATGATCAATTAATAATTGAAATATTTCAAAAAATGTCTGATAAATAAGATAATCATCTTGTTGATGATGATCTATTTTACAATAATTATCGATAAAACAATTTCATAACATTTGTACATGTTCTTTATATTAGTATATTCAATTAATAATAAATAAAGTGTTTTAATACATGATTGAATTATCATTGATTTTTCAATTTATTATTTAAAAATACATAATAATAATTTTGTACATGAATAAAATGTTGATTGAACATTTTTACATGTTTCACTAAAAGCTAATGCAAGACTATCAATTTCATTTTGATCAGATACTTTTTTATTAAATAAATAATCAATGAATGGTTGATAATTTTCTATTTTACATAATAAATATAGAAATGATTCAACTCCAAATGAACGTATTTTGTTGTTAATGTATTTGTTATTGTTGATGAAAATAAAAGTTTTGAATATAATTCATATAAATTAGTTAAATATTTTAACATACTTGTTCAAATGAACCAGATAATGAAATAAATTTATTATAAAGTATAGAATAAGCTTCACTTCAAGTGATTGAAGAAAATGATTTGTACAAATAAAATCTTGATTTGTTTGAAGATCAATTGTATCATGATACCGAATATGATAAACAACATTTATATTATATTATTTAAATGTTCATGAAGTAGTTGATACCGAAATGGTCGATGATCCTTTTTTGTTTGTTTTGACAGTTTTTGTTTTTTTTTGTTATCTAAAATAATTTTAAAATTAAAAATTTAGGTACTTCTTTCGATCAACGACACCGCGGCACTCACATTGTTTGATCCACCCTTGCTCACTCTTTGGTGTTCTTTGTCTAAGTTGATCAATAGTGTAGGGATGTCGTTGAACTGAAGAAGAACCGAATTTCGAAATGCGAAACGATATACTCTTTTTTTTAATCATAGTTCTCTTTACATAAATTTCTGTATTCACATTAATATTTTATAATGATGTTTAGGTATAATAATTTTAATTTTGTTTTCGAATTGAAATAAACAGTGGATCGATTATTTGAATTCGATTAAGATAATTCATGAATTCTTTATATAATCATATTCAATTTATTTTTTAGAACAATTTTATTTACACATCAAAATAACAACATTTAAAGAACAAAAAAAATGATTCATGAGATTTGTGCAGCCTTTTCTCGATGAAACGGGAGATAGAGGTATCGATAAAATATTAATATATGATTCCAAATAGAAAATACAACTAACAAAAATGCTGTCATATGAATAAAAACAAGTAAATAGATACTTATATTTTTTTTCTCTGGCTCAGGCAACATTGGTTCATCCAAAAATTGATAGATCGATTCGTCTTTTTTAATATCATTGTCCGCTTGTTTAATGATTTTTTTAACAGAAACGATGTCGTCACATTGTCTAATCTTAAAAATCACATCGATCCAATATTGGGCATCGATATCTGCTGATGCAATTAATCGTTCGTCGTTCTTTTTATCAGTTTCTATCCATTTGCTTAACAATTCTAAATCACGAAAAGGTTCTTTTTCAAGGTACAGGACAGCTAATATTATATGCAAGAATATTGGTGCATCCCGATAAAAAATATTATTTTGTTCCTGAGCTCGACGGGCATTGAACATTAAGCCTTGGTGTATAAACACATACATTAATAAATGAAATTTTGGTATATAATAGTGAGCCACAATATAAAAAAAAAATATGTTCGCTAAATACATTGTATAACGATTTAGTCGAAACCAAAAAACGGTCCACCAGGTACAATTATCCGGCACATTGATATATGGTGAAGCAAAAAAATAATCTCGTCTCAATTTTGTGCAACATTCGTTATTTGATTGGAGACTTTCAATAAAATACCAGCTAAGTACCACAAGCGCAATTTGAAACAATAAAATTGACCATAATGTTTTTCGTTCAGAACAGTTAATAAATCGAGTGAATGTAGGCATTATTTTATCTAAAAAATTTATCAAGACAAATAATAAAGTATATTTAAATAACGTAATATATGAGAAATTTCTAATATTAGAAGCATTTCACTAGCTTCACTATAAAGCAAGGGGGAAACAGCAGAGACTTCAGCCGTGAAGTCTCATGAAATCTTGAAAGTCTTTCGAAATCTTCTGAAGTCTCTTGAAGTCTTCTGAGGTCTCACAAAGTCTCTTGAAGTCTCTGAAGTCTCATAAAGTCTTATGAAGTCTCATGAAGTCTTTTGAAGTCTCATGAAGCCTCTTGAAGTCTCATGAATTCTTCTGGAAGTTTTGAAATACATTTATCCCAGGGCAAACAATTAGACACTAAGATCGGACAAGATTCTGTGTCTGATCATGTATGATCTTGTACAATTCATATCAAATCGTACAAAAAATCTTAGTCTCTGAAATCTTACATCAATTCTTACTGTAAGACTCTTGACAGATTTTGTTGTCTTGCCAAATCTTACTGTAAGATTTTAGAAAATCTTATGCGACGCTAGGATCTGATAGAAATCTTGCAGCAAGAATTTATGTAAGATTTCAGAGACTACGATTTTTTGTACGATTTCATATATTCGTACAAGATCTGCTGTCAGATTTTTTGACCTAGATAGTGCATGAAAATTCATAAGAAACCAATGAAATTGTCTTGTTTTCGAAGTCTATGGGTTTTTTTAATTTCAAATTGAATTTTGAATAAAAAATAACACCCCGTTTTTACCAAGGCAGAGAGGCTAAGGGGACTAAGGGTGTGGGTGTAGATCTGTATTGCATAGACACCCACACCCACACTTTCTCTCTCCCTCCCTCTCACCCACACTTTCTCTCTCTCTCCTCCTCACCCACACTTTCTCTCTCTCCCCTCCTCACTCACACTTTCTGTCTCTCCCCCTCACCCACACTTTCTCTCTCTCCCCTCACCCACATTTTCTCTCTCTCCCCTCACCCACACTTTCTCTCTTCCCCCCCCCCCCCCCCCCCCCCCCCCCCCCCCCCCCCC